CAATCAGATATCTAAAAGGTGGAAAGTAAGGAGCGAAAGCCTAGCCCCTTACCAAACTTATCTGGAAACTCTTACCGATCAGTTAGAGAAGGTAGAATACACATATCTACCTAGAGAAGAAAACCAATTTGCTGATGCCTTGGCAAGATTAGCCTCAATAGTTAGGATTCCCACGGAAATCGAGCAAATGCCTCTAACTATCGAAAAAAGGCACAAACCAGCATATATACAGGCTATAGAAGACGACGACTCAGTCCAAGACGAAGAAGAAGAACAAGAAGAAGAACCATGGTACACAGACATACTCAACTATGTCACCAATGGAGAATACCCTCCTCATGCTGACAAAAGAGCAAAGCGAGCATTGAGACTTTTGGCTTCTCAATATGTACTCAAAGACAACGAGCTACATAAAAGGGTACCTAAAGGTCGAGCTCTCCTATGCGTAGGAAAGGTGGACGCACAAAGAATAATGAGAATAGTTCACGAAGGAATCTGTGGAACTCATGTAAATGGCAAAATGTTAGTCCAGAAAATAATGCGAGAAGGGTATTATTGGACTACAATGAATAGGGTATGCCATCAATACGTGAAAAGATGCCTTAAGTGTCAAATTTATGCCAATTTACAACATGTTCCTCCATCTTTGCTCTACACCTACACATCACCATGGCCATTCTCTACATGGGGAATTGACATAATTGGCAAAATCACTCCCCCAGGGATAGGAGGCCACGAATTTATTCTAGTAGCAATTGATTACTTTACAAAGTGGGTCGAAGCGCAATCATACGCTAAACTCGCTGCAAAACATGTAGCACTCTTTATCGAGAGAAATATCATTTGTCGATATGGAGTCCCACATGAAATGATAAGTGACAATGGAACTTACTTTCAAGCCAAATGTGAAGAATTGCTACATAAATATGGTATCCAACATCATCATTCGTCCCCTTATAGACCTCAAGCAAACAGAGCAGTTGAGGCAGCTAATAAGAATTTAAAGACTATCATCGAGAAAATGACAGAAAATTATAAGGATTGGCCTGACAAGCTCCACTTCGCACTGTGGGGGTTATCGCACGTCAATCCGTACATCAACGGGAAATACACCATTTTCCTTGGTATATGGAATGGATGCCGTACAACCTGTCAAACTAGAAATACCATCTCTACGCATTGCACTAGAGAGTAAACTTGATGAAGTTGAATGGACTAGGGCAAGATATGAAGAATTGATCCTACTCGACGAAAAACGACTAGAAGCTCTACATCACACTCAGTGTTATCAAACTCGTATGGCTAGACATTTTAATAAGAAGGTCAAGACAAGAAATATCAAAGTAGGAGATCTGGTATTAAAAGCACTAAGGAAAAATGTTTTAGACCCAAGGGGAAAATTTAGACCTAATTGGTCTGGCCCCTACATTGTCAAAACAATCCTGTCAGGTGGCGCAGCAAAACTAACTGATATGGATGACAATGAATTCTCAAACATGACCAATCAATAGTACCCATAATTACTTGAGTAGGATACTCAAGAGAGCTACGTTCGGCCTGATTCCTTAGGAAAGGATACGTAGGCAACCCTTTACGGGTGCGGCCACTTTATTTTTCGACATCTCCGCGTTCCAGAATCAACTAAAAGTCAACACAGAGTCGGCAAATTATTGGCGTCGCAGAACAGAGCCTGGCGCCAGCCATAAGCCATTAGCGCCAGCCGATGGTATTGACGCCTGGCGCCAGACCTCAATAGTTGGCGCCAAACTATAATTACTGGCGCCAATTCAGGAATAAAATCTGGGCGAATTTCGGTGTTTTTCGGAAAATTTTCGACTTCCGTACTTGAAGAATTTCTGGAATTTTTTTTTTTCCGATTTTCATTGCTTTAATAAAATAAATTTAAAGTAACAATTTAATTGAAAGCTGAAATTTCATTAATAAAATAAAATTACATTGTTAATGGAATTTAAATAAGGCTGAAATAAATTAACTTTAAATAAAAATTAACAATCAAATAAATCTAAAGCTAAGCAATGTTTTTAATCTTTCTTTTCCTTATTATCTCTTTTCCAATTCTTTTCTGTTTCCTCCTCTTCATCCATTACTTTAGCTAGTAGGCATCCTTTAGAGGACCTACATTCAATTTTGGAATAGATTGTCTCCCCTTCAGCTAGCACCCCATGCTTCTTTTCCACCCAAGCATTTTTGTCCGTGGTGTTAGCTTTCCTCTTCCCTTTGTCTCTAGTAGTATTCTTCTTCCTAGGCATTGTAGGTGTTTTGAATTCAATTCTTGCACCTAAGCGTTCTTTGGCCGGTGTAACCCTGTCACCTAGACGATTCTTCACATCGGTTCTACCCTGATCAATTGAAGATTTCTTCAGCAACCACTTCTTTACATCATTAGGTAAAGAAGGGGGAACCTTTTGGGTAATCACTTCCCATAAAGGTCTAGCACTCTAGTAAGTGTCGAATCTATCTACTTCTTGAGATACGGGGTACTCATAGGGAGGACGAAGATCCCCGGAAGAAATATTTTGAAGTAAGCCGTATTGTCTCTTTACCCTACAAGGAAAATAATATGTTACGCGAGACAAGCTTGGAAGATGGCAGAAAGGTTGCTTGTTAACACCAACCATCCTTTCTATTTTCCACCATGGGACGACCCACTTGATAGCAAAATCACGTGATTCAAATACTTTCCTCCACCCGTGACGCCCAATCTTAGGGATGCGCTTTTTTCTTCTCACAAAACAATTGGGAGTATATTTTTCGATGTCATACGGAGGGCTAATTAACCCTAGCCTCTCCATTAGCCACATCTGTAAAAAAATTGCAATGCAAACAAAATTATTATTACAATACAAAAATATATTTTTTGATTTCTATAATTAAAAATGTTATTTTTCTACCTGTAATAAAATTGGAGAACCGCGAAAAGGTGCTTTTCGGTCCCTTTTCAATTCATCGAGATTAATCATGGTCTCTCCAACTATTAATGGCATCGGATTCCTCCCTGATTCAATTTGTTCTAGTACAGTGGTGATAATTGATTGACCCTCATTATTTTTACCACTACTAAGAAAATATTGATTGAGTATACAAAATAAAAACGCCCTTCTTCTATATATATGAAAGGATTCAGAAAGAGGATTATCAAAATAATAGCGTGCGAATTCTTTCAAATTAACTATATTACCATCTACTATTTTCGATAAATCCCTATCCTTTAAATTAAAGAAGCGTTCGAAATACTTATAGTAATATGCATCTACTCTAGGGATTACTACCAGGTCTATTGCAGGGAAGCCTAAGATAGCACCAAATTCCTCTGGCAAAGGGCTAATTTCATCATACCCTATTCTAAAACAATGCCACTACAAAAAAAATGAGAATAGGCAACGGACAAAATTGCAACAAAATGACAAACGTTGCCTTTTGTAGTAAAAGGCAACAATACTTGTTTGTTACCTTGATCTTGAACAATTTGTACTATATGACAATGCAACGGTTTGAAAAGTGTTGCTTTAGATTATGTAAGACAAAAATATGTAAAATGTAGTTATTTATTTTACAAAAGACAACAATTATTTAAAATGTTGCCAAGAAAGATAACAACAATAAAATTGTTGCTTATGTAATAATTTTAAAAACGCTTTTTCAAGGTATCTAAGACAAGATTGTTTCATGTGTTTTCATTGTCTTACATAAGATAGGTTATTATTTAGAACATTCGTTTAAAAATAATAATAAACAGATTATTGCCAATAAGAACAAATTATTATCTATTCATAAAGGTGTGTATGACAACAATAGTTGATGATTAGAAAAAATAATTTAGCACCGGTAATTGTGGTTGGTGGATTTCACATTTCACAACAGCATTTTTTAAGCTAAATCAATGTAGAAAATACAACACATATGTAAAAGTTATATTTTCATACGAGTAGAATTGATGGTAATTATACAGTACAAATAAATTACAAAAGGCTAGCAGTCTTTGTATTAAAAAATTAAAAAAATAAAATCTTTATATGCAAATTTTGGCACTAAACTTTGTTTGTTTTTTAAGCTATTTATAACATTTACTTGCAATTTTTGTCCATCATCTCAGATTCTGGAATTCCTTTAGTAAATGTATTTCACAAAATTTAGTAAATATATTTCACAAAATTTATGTCTCACCTGTATTTAAAAGTTGCTTCATCCTTTCCTCGCACCAGTTTGGCAGAAAAAAGTGCTTAATGAATGGGATCATGCTATCCATTTTGCATTATCTTCACAGTACACATTGATATCGACAAAATTTTGGTTTGAACTCACATTGAATTTTTTAGGTCATCACTCGTGATTTCGGAGGTGGAAAATCCATAAGCCTTTTCTTTAATGTTCGATTACCTAAAATATTTTTTGCAGAGACGGATCTTATGTGTGTTTGTTGATATGCTGATTTTGTTATTATAACAAAAGTCTTCATACGTGCCTTTCTTTGGCTTATCGGCAAGATTGAGTCCTTTGTTTATATTCCTTCCTTCCTTGTGCAGGCAATGGAGTTTGGTCTTATAGATGGCATTTTGGAAACAGAGTATCGAGGATGCTGCGTATGACATGTTGCAACCATTTCATGGATGCACCTTTCTTATAGCTGTTGTATGAAGTATATTTCACTAGTCGTCCAATACTAATTTTGTTGCGTTGCAATCTCAGCTTAACTAACTAAGTTGCAACATTGTAATTGGAAGGGACATGGTTGTTGTCCTTGTATATCTTCAAAGAATTCAATTTTTTTGAAAATCAAATTGTAATTGTTGGCAAGTAATGTTCCAATTGAATTTGTTTTGTTAAACAAGAATCAAATTCTGCTTCTAGCAAGAATGGTTTGCAATTAGAGAGGGAGAGGTGCAGACAATTTGTTGCTTGAACAAGATTTGGACTGGTATGACTGATAAAAAGTTTCTATAACAAGAAACTATTGCAATGATTTCCATCATGATAAACTATTGCAATAACAAGTCTATGTTCATAAATTATAGTTCAAGATGAGCCTTCTCATGGACGTCCACGTTCATAAACAAATCAATTTCAATCAATTTACAACCTTGTGCCAAACTAACAAGAACTTTAAGAAGTACAAAATGATCGCCTCCCTACAAACGGGAACCATCTTTCTTATTTTGGGGGTTGTGGGAGGAGATAACAATTCATTTATTTAAGGTTCTCCCTCCCCATAAGAATGTTGTGGTATAGTGTTAAGCCTACTCATACATGCATATAGTGTTCTGGCATGTTTGAAATGCTTCGCCTTTTATCTGACTCAGTAGCACTTCTGGTGTAAATCATTATATGCTATGTACCTGAGAAAAGAGTAAAAGACAAATGCCAAGAAAATCAGAAACAATGCCTTATAACATGTGAAGTAAAGCACAACTAGTCCATTCTCAAAATCTGAACATTCAATCAGCCAAATGGTTGAATATTGAAAGTCTTGCTGATAGAGAAAATGTTTAATCTCAAGCCTTCACACATTATAACAACCATCAATAATTTTTCAAGTTATGAATAGCAGAACGCTTTGACGGGATAGAAAAAATTATTTTTGCTTATCTACTTATCATTACACAGAACAGGGTAGCCCTTTTCAGTTTCTGAATGTTTTAACAAGTAAAAAGATAATAGAACAAACAATTTACATATAAAAGACTTACCATAATTTTGGCCGTAGTGAATCTGTAAATGGCCTTGATTAAGGAGCCGTATTTCCTAGACTTCAAATTTCTCATATGCCTACAACAGATGAAGAAAGCCTCAATGTAAAACATCCACTGTAAATATATGGTCAAGTAGCAAGATACAAGAAGCATAACTACAGAAAATAGGCCCTTACAATAATTTTTTATGTGACTTAATTAAGGAAATGCTTGTGCTGAATGCTGATTAATGCAGGCTTACTGAATTGTTGTTTAATGCAGGCTTACTGAATTGCTGATTAATGTATGTAGGCCACAAAACAAGTAAATAAATTAGTCATTGAATTGCTTCTTGAATTTGTTATGTGACTTAATTAAGGAAATACTTGTGCTGAATGCTGATTAATGCAGGCTTACCGGTATCATTGCATAGACGGGCACATAGTTCAACAGCATGTTTGCCATATCAGTGTCTTTAGTTGAGACCTGAAGCAACATAGTGAGTTATATGTCTAAAAAGGGAGTGAAGAGCATGCATATCTAGTTCAAAGGTTAAGTAATGAAGAATTACTGTAATTTAAATTCATCTAAACTGTAAGCAAATCCCAACTTTTGAGTTAAAAAAATACAAAATAAAGAAAACAGTATGATTTTAAACCTGTAAGATTCTGAACTCTGAATTATTGTAATTTGAATTCATCTAAATAGGTAGCAGCAGGACATAAGTAGGCACTTCTTACCTTCAGCTACTCATGAGTTTCTTGAGAATCCTCCTAAGCATAAGTTTAGATGATACAAGTTCTATGACGAGTCATTATGAATACAATGAGATCGCAGAGAATCTGCCAGAAAACTTTCAAGCGGTCTAGTAATTCAAGCTACTCAATCGTCTAGTCAGCATTGTGAGGATAGGAAAGCAAGATCAATTTCAGACCATAAGGTTTGAAAAATGTTGCTAGACCTTCAAAAAGTGTCTTATGGAGCTTCTTTATAGCGTGTATCAGCAAGCACATTGCAGCTCGGGGGTAGACAGGTTCAAGGTAGTTACTCAAGCAATATTTCCTACTTGAGGTGTATTATCTCTACAGATCCAAAGCATCAGACTGCCTTAGAACTGTAAATTGCAGAATTTTATGAGCCCATCAGGCAAGAATATAGCTCAGCTACTCAAAGTTTTCTAACTCAAATTTGCAGGATGCTCATAGCGGCTCTTATGCCTAAATTACATACAATGTTGAGCATGGAGAGGATAGATGAAAGTGCAAAGAGCTGTCTGACAATATTCTGTGAAAAAAGTTCAAAGTCAAGCTCCTCCATGCAACAAATCGTCAATTGAGGAGGCAAGCTCAGTACAGAACATCTAACAACAGTTGTTGTAGCAGCCTAGTAGAGGCAAGATTGCAATCACGTCAAGGAATTATCTTGAATCAAGAGCCATTTTTAGTCAAGAAATTGAATTTAAAAGAGCAAAAGGTCATTTGAAAAAGGATAATAAGATATCTCGAGAAAGAGCAACAATTCAATTTATCAACAAGTCCACAACGAAGCAAGTAAGACTTCAAGTGGAAGAAATCAGAACAAGAATCTTAAAGCTCCTCAAGGTTGCCTGAAGAATTAGCAACACTTACAAGCCTGCGGTTATCAAAGGAGAAATACTCAGAGTACAACAAAGTGGGAAAGAGACAGAATTTTCAGTTGAAAAATTTGAAATTTTTGCCTGAGAAATCAAACTCTTCAGCAAAAAAGTCAGAAACTGTCAGCGGAAAAATTCAAGGTTTTCAGTAGAAAATTCAACATTTTTGCAAAATAGCAAGATTTTCAAGAACAAAAAACAATATCCTTGCAAAGATTCAGCAGAGAAAATCAGCATTTCCAACAAAGAAAAAAGAATTTCAGCGAGTTTGTAAGTTGTCCAGAAGAATTTCATCACCTGTTTCAAGCGCATGTCATAGGACAACAGTTATAAAAACTCACTGCTATCTAGCATAAGGGATATATACCCAAAAATTCCAAAATCAGACATGGATGTTGTAAAAATATCAGTTAACTCACAAAATCCCCAAGATCTTTTAATATTTGTGTCTACTTGAGATATATACCATATATCTAGTGAGAATAATAATACTTACAAAGTTGTAATTATCTAATTTTAGTTACCAACATGATTTCACTCAAAGTAAATTTTGACAAACTAATTCTTATTCTAAAGTCCAATTTAACAAATACTTTGCAATAATAAAAACCCAAGAATTGTTTCAGAAAGAAAAAAAAAACCAAGAATTCAGTATATTTTTACCTAAGTTGTTGTTCCTGACTACAGTCTGCGACTGCACGCCCGCTGGTGACTTCCTGCTTGTGGCGGCTAGCTGCATCTAGTGGTTGTCGGCTTGCTGCTTCCTACTAGTGGCTGATAGCTGCAGGCTTCTAGATGCAGGCTGCCAGCTGCTAACGGCTCTAACTGCCTGCTGGTAGGGCTAGCAGCTGCCTGCTGCTGCGGCTGTTTGGCAGCTAAGAAATTCTTAATATCTCCTCCAACATTTGTAAGCTTATCAAATCACATTGATGTATTCTACAAAACTCATACATATCACAACCCCAAATATATTACCAAAATAACAATAATGCAAAATAAAACTAAATAATAGATTATTAAAATAAGACTAGTTTCTTATGGTTTTTCATACTCACCCGCTGCTATTTTCAGGTTGCACCAAGATATTATTAGAAGATGGCAACAAACTATCTATATTTAATTCTTTACTCTCTTCAATCTACACCAACAAATTAAAAGTTGATACGGAGTATTAATTTAATCGAAATCAAAATCAAATTTGATGCTATTTTGGGGTTAACCTATTAGGAATAGATGAGCGAAAGTCTGAGAGTTGGAATAACATAGGGGCAATTTGGTTTTGTTTGTTCGATTTTGTGGGAAAAATTAGTTGGGGTTTTTTATTTTGTGGGAAGAATTAGTTGAATTTGGTTCTGTTTGTTCTACTTTGAAGGAAGAACTAAGTCTCTAACGAATTAGTTGGGGGTTAGTTAACTTTGTGATTTTTTTCTTCAATGATTAGTGATGTAATAATAATAATAACAACAATATAATAATAATAATAATAATAATAATAATAATAATAATAATAATAATAATAATAATAATAATAATATGAATAATAATATGAATAAATGACACTATATCATTATTACATACTCATTTTTTAACAAAATTATTATATACTAGCTCATAATAAATTTAGGGCATGTTCTCTTCGGATTATTTTTAGTTCAGTTCAGTTCTAATAAGTTCCATTCAGTTCAGTTCAGTTCTTAATTTCCTTCTCTCATAAAATATTCAGTTCAGTTCAGCTTCAACAAGTTTAGTTCAGTTCGGTTCAGCTCAGTTCAGTCAATCAAAACAAACCCTTAGATTTTAGACTTAATTATTATTATTATTATTATTATTATTATTATTATTATTATTATTATTTTTGAAACAAGACTTAATTATTACTAATGAGTAACTTATTTATCAATTTAGATTATAATCTATGGTTCGTCAAAAAGCTATTATACTCCTTAATGTGTAATTACATACTTTTTCTGTTTCTATTAATTTGACACGTTCAATTTAGACACACATATTAAGGAGATGAGAGAGAATGCATGATAAAGCAAGTGAAGACACTGATAAATTAACGGTATGAAACTTACTCAAAATAGAATAAAAGTATAAAACTATTTGACTTTCACATTTTTATATAACTTGTTAACATAATAAAACAATTAATTTGATTGAATTTCACATTTGTATAAAACTTAATGGTAAAACTCACTGGGTAACTTTGTTTCTTTTTACTTTATATAGTAACTTGACTTTCACAATTGTGTTAAATAGATTGTCATAATGGTCAAGGTTACCCTTTTGAACCACCTCGGTTTGGATCTGATCAATTTTGAGTCGAGACAATAACTATCGGGTCCATGTCAAATTTGGAAAAAGCCATCAATTTTGTATTAGTTAATGGTCAAATTGGAGTATTAGCTTAGGTTTAAACGAGTTTGAGTGGGTTTATTTCGTATCAGTTGACTTTGGTCTCCTTGATTACATTTTTTTTTTATTTCGATTCAATATTACATCTGTATAAAGTGAAATATTATTACAAACAAGACTCTATTATGTTCACCTTTATTCCATTTATTTTACAAAAAATAATCTCACATAAGCTTAGATAAAATTAATCATGATTTAGAACACGTAAAATAGTTTAGTAGAGTAACTTTTTGCCAATTTTTAATGTAAATAGCCAATGAAATAAGTTTTTTAAGGATATTATAGTTGCTTTTACTTACAAACCTTTTCTTTATTGGGTTACTTTTATGCATATTGTGGTAACTTTTATTCATTATAGGGGTAACTTCTGATCACTTTAGGCTATCTTTATAATGGATGTACAATAATTATTGTACACCCGGTTTTTTTTAAAAAAATACGTTTGTGTGTATATATTAGGAGTAATATTGTACACCCGTTTTTTTTTAAAAAAAAAATTTAGGGTTTATTCTCATTGACTGAACTGAACTTATTAGAGCTGAAGTGAACTAAACTGAAATGAATATTTTATAAGAGAATGAAATAAGGAGTTGAACTGAACTTATTAGAGCTGAATTGAACTGGAAATAATCGTATGAGAACAGACCGTAACTAGTAATCATTTAGGACAATATTAATACGGATATATAATATTTATTGTACACCTATTTTTTATTCGTTAAAATAAATAGTTTTTTTTTTTGAAACAATTAAAATAAATAGTTTGATTTAATATATATTTTTTATTATTATTAATATTACTCCATATTAGATTACCATCCAGAAACTAGCAAGTTGCTACCAATACCAATTTTAATTAATTCATCATATTTTTTAATCCAATAATTTCTTCGTCATAATCCAATAATAGATTACAACTTTGTTTCCTTAAGATATTTGTAATCCCACCCAAGTAAGATCCCCTAGTTTATTCCAAAAAGAAGAACCATTAGCTAGTAGTCCACATTTAGTTCGGGAAATATAGCAAATTAGCACCAAGACTTTAACTCTATGTTCAAATTACCCCCTTAACTTTAATTATAGCAAATGGACCCCAAAACTTAACATATCATGCAACACATCTGAGCATCATTATTTAACAATAAATTCATCAAAACATGCTAATTTTTTGTATTAATAATAAGCATTAAGAGTATTATACATGCGTTATATTTCTTACCATTTCAATTAAATGTGAGCAATTGAAGAGATTAATCAAGTATGATGGTTTGCTAAATTCCGTTAATTTTTTCGCCCTTTGTCATATTTCAATGTCGATAATTTCTATATTTTATAGTATGTATTTAATATGTATGATAATGTATATGCACAATATTTTGGATGTAATTAATTTTTTTTAACATTTTTTTGTCTTTTTTAATATTTTAATGTGATTTTGCTCAAATTTGATGTATAGGTTTTGATTGCACAATTATATTAAGTTGTGGGGTTAATTTGCTACAAGTAAAAGTTATGGGGTTACTTTACACCTGCAATAAAAGTGTTGGGGCTAATTTAGTTCTCAAAATAGAAAATAAGTTAAAAAATAAATAAATAAAAAAAAACCAAACTCCATATTCTTCTCCAAACCCGCGAAATTGTAAATTATTTTTGGCTCCAAATTTTTTTGATCATGAATAAGCAGTTACTCCACTTTTCAGCTGTTGATCTCATTATACAACACACTCGTCATCTTAAAATCATCATATCCCCCAATCGGTTACTCTACTTACTCACCTCCTTTCTTTCTACTTAGGTGAGAGTTAATTAAGAGTATAGAGTATCTATTTCAATTCGTAATTAACTAGTTGCTTTTCTCTCTACTCACACTGCTTTCTTTGGATTTATGGTTGGCTAGTTGGGTTTGATGCCGGCGAAATTGTTGTTGTATTCTGAATTTCATGTAAGTCATCGTTGCCCTTTTAATCTCTGAAGTGAATTTGGCATTTATAACTGGTTAATTTGATGTTGGATTTGATTTTTAGATGTAATATATTCTGGGTTGTCTTATTTTTGTAATTTAATATGATTATGGGTTAAGATGATTTTAATGGTTATGATTTACATGTTATGATTTACAAATAGCTCTGTATTTCTGTTGCTGCTTAGTGATTGACATGGACATTTGCACTTGTTAATATGAGTAGATGCATGACATCAGATAACGGGTGTGAGTTTTAGAGCGTTTTTTAGGGTGTTTTGCTGACACCCTCGAAAGCTAACGAGGCCATTTTTTCGGGTGTCTTAGGCGGTGTTCGTGTGATTAGGCTGTCATCCCCTTAGTTTATCATTGATCATCTCTCTTCTTACTTTCCAATGGCCACATTCACTACACTAGCAGCTATGAAGGGCAATCCAAAAATTCAGGCCATTTATCTGAGTCCAATTTTGATCAATTTTGTGAATTTTACTATCTAGAGACTTATAGTACCTGAACCTGCTCTCTGAACATTGCAAAACCTCACCTTTCTCAATCTGATGCACATTCTAGGTTGTTTATTAGGCTGTCCAGAAATGTTACAGTTGCCAATCTGACCAAGCTCCAATGTGATCTTAACTTCAATTCATACATCAATAATTAGTACATATAAGGTCCTGGAGTCTTGGGTTCTGAGATATATGCTGATTTGTTCACTATAGAAATCAATTATATTTTGTTTGTTCTACTTTAGTCTAAAAAACGTACCGAACAGAATTTGCCACTAAAATTTAAGTTAATAGAGGTTAGTTGTTAAGCTTTCAATCATGCTAACCCTTTTGTGAAATCAGCTAGATTATTAAACAAATGGTTATCCTTACTTGTTTTGTAACTTGAGCAGAAGAGTTTTAACTAGAAAAGATTTAAAAATTAAAGCATATTGAGGACTGTCAATTTATTCCCTGATGTCTAGTTGTTACTGAACTGAGTAATTGCTGAAAGATGCTTAGATATTTGTCCTAGGTCGAATTAACTTACAAACGAATTCACTAATGGTAGCTAGTGGGGTTGCTTACACTATGTGTGGGTTATATGCATCTGCACTAATTTTCCCACCTCTCCACTAAGCTTGGAGCTATAAGAGGTGCTGGTGATGAGCATCAAACTCATGAACCAAGAATGTCAGGATATGAGAGGCTGAGAATAGAAACAATTAGAAAAAATATGACAAGAATGGAAGAATTAGGTTTGAAGGAACAGGCTAAGTCATTGATGGCGCAAGTTCAAAATAATAGAGGCAATCAAAGTAAAAACAAAAAGAAAAAGGTTTCGGGAGACGATGAGCTCTATAGGGCTAACCAAGATATGGAGCATGAGCTTGATTCCATCGATGAAGAGTTACCCATTCCACAGTCTAAAAGTAAAGGCAAGTCCAATGCTATTCAATGGAAGGTAGTTTTTTCTAAGCTGTACATTTATAATTAAGCATGTCTCTATTCTTTACACATGTAATTATGTATGCATCAAGATGATGTGTTGTGCTGCTATATATATGTCATATGTGGGTTTAAAATTTAAAATATAGGTTTTAAATTGAGAATGGAACTCTATTATCTCATGCAAGTATATATGCAACTAGGAATAGATGTTTGAATGTTCTGATTTGCCATCAACTATGAACACGTATTGATTGAAAATTTGTCCAGTTCTCTACAGATTTAGAAAGTAGTAAGAAAAATGTCTTGGTGTGCTGCTGTTGCTTTATAATGTTGTTGTTGCCTATTGCTTTGCGGCTGTTGAAACTTTAATTCTACTGCTCTATTGTCATGAGTTGCTGCCCCCTTGCCTTGCTGACTGTACACTTGTTCTGCAATCTACTGCCAAATACTTCTCTAGAACTTAAAACAAATTCTGCTCTGCGCTGTAAGCAGTTAAACTACAAGTTTCAATTTAGATTGAATGATTCATGATTGAGCTGTACTGTAATAATGTAATGTATGTTTTTTATTGTGATGTTCTGATTTTGATTACATTCATTAGTGATTACCTTAATCCCAAATAAACTTGGATGGTTTGTCATGTCATTTGCAAAAGTGTGAAATTGCGTAAGCATTGTGCTAATAGCCTAGTCTTTGTCTGTCTTGATGCACATATACATTTTCTGTGAGACTCAACAGTCGCACACTCTTAAACTAACTCAATAGAAAACACATACAAAACAAGAATAATCAGCAAGAACAAAGATTCGATAGCCAATGGATTGAAATATATTGATAGTTCAGTAACTTTAGGTTACTACTGCCCAAAGTATCTTTAGGATACAAAGCTCCAAATATCCAATACAATAGTCTTCTCACAGAATTCTTGACAATGGAAAAACATTCTTATATATACAAGGCTTTTGTCCAACACAAAAGAGGCCGCCTTAATTCATTTTGTTTATCTCTATCTACTCTGAAATGCTGCTCTAAGTTTTCTGCTCCACTAGTGAGTGTTGTTCCCCCTTCCTGCAGACTCCCCTCTTCCCCTACCCTTTGTCCTTCAACAATTAATTAAATTTGTTCCCTTGTGCTGCTGTGGTTTTCCTCTTCTCTGATATTGCAATAGAGATTTGGGCTTAAGGTTTGGTGGCCCGTCAGTTTGGTGATATTTTCCTTGTATGCTCATATACCTAAAGATCAGCTCAAATTTGACCTCTTATGTCAATATGGTGTCTGAAACAGTAAAGAACACAATTCTCAAGGCTACTTGAAGCACATGCTTAGTTAGACATTAATGTTTAATTGCTTATAAATGCCCTTATGTATGTGTGGTCTATGATCAATTAATTGCTTATCAATTTAACAAGAGTTATGAAGTGTGAAACTTCTTTTGTATAATGTTTGTACATACATATATTAGAGTTTGTATGTCTTTCTTTTTTCCATGTTTGTTCCCAATTTCAGATTCGTAAAATGAAGGCTCTGACTCGAAAAGCAGTGATGGCAAAACGTCGGCGAAATGTTGATTTGGCTTCTTCACATGGTGGCTCATCTACCCCTAATCATACATTACATCAGCATTATTCAACCACAAGAGAACTAGTTGAAATGCTCGGATTAGAAGTTGAACACTTAAATCATGACAAGAATGATAAAGAAAATGGCAAGCTATCGTTTGTATTTGTAATTAAAATTCTTTACCTACATGCTTGATAAGCCATTTTTTTAACATTTGAATTTCTTTGCTCATGTTAGCTGAAAAGGATAAGCCTAGAAGAGGACCCACTATGTGCTACAAAGTCCATGGACGCACCGTAGAACGCTTGGAAATTACCTTGAATGAGCATGGACAACCTGTTGGTCCGGATGACAGTACATGCAATGAGTTCATTAGCTTCTTAGGAACAATAGCTCGAAAAGCAAATATCCTACCACTGACTGTCAAGAATTGGCCCATACTAAGAAACGAGAAGAAAGAAGAACTTTGGGATTATGTCTTGGTGAGTTACTTATTCAATTAAATAAATATGGTAGAAATGTTTTATAATTGCTTAACTTGTCCTATATGGTTTCTGCTATCATGTCAGAGTGTCATGTTAAACTTTCTTGATTGGCATATGTTATGTAAAAAAAATGAACCCCAACTGTCATTATTGTTGTCGATCTGCCTACATGGTGTTCTGCTTGGCTGCCTTCTACTTTTTAAGATCAGTGACTTGTTTTGTAAGTGCTAGAATAGGTTCTAAACTTTCAGTGAGTTGTTTTCTTATGTTCTTGATTTGTGATTAAGATTAATTAATTGGCAGTGAGTTGTTTAACAGTGCCAATATGATCACTTTAGTATAACTTTTTTTGTATTGTTGTAGAAACATTTTATTGTCCCAATTGAGGGAAAAAAATGGGTTTTGCAAACCATTGGTGCTGCTTGGAGAAGGTACAAATGTTATTTAAAAAGAGTACACTTTCATAAATATGACAATGATAAAACAAGGATGATCAAACGACCAAAACTAGTCCCAAAAAATATGTTCCAAGACTTGTTAAAGATTTGGAATGATGTCAAATATGAGGTATTACATTTATACAAGTCTCTTATATTTTCCCTGCCTTTATAGCAAATGTATATTTCTTGTCTTAAGAAAAATGTTATTCATTAGTTCACCGTCTTAATTTGTCAGGAACGATGTATGCAAAATAAAGCAAATCGGTTAGTTGGAAAGGAAAAGAACATTATGCATACTTCAGGACCAAAGAGTTTTGCTAGGGTTCGATTTAAGTGGGTGAGTTTGTTTGTTTGCTTGTTTACATTTCTCATCACTTTTATTATTGGTTTTATTTCTGCATTAAAATGATTGGCACTCATTACTCTTGTATAGAAAAAGGATAATAAAACAACAAAAAATCCTAGTTTAGCTCAAATGTTCATAGCAACACGCAAGGAGAAGCTAACAAAGCGAAAGCTTGGTGACCTAAGGGACAAATTGATGGTAAGATTCATTGTCATTTCATGTTAATTTTTTTGCATTTAATTTTGTCAATATTAATTTTTGTCCTTTAACTTTTAAAATACAGACTGAACTTGAGAAATTAGATTCAGAGGAGGAGGTTGAAAGTGTGATTTCAACTATTATTGGTTCTGATAACAAGAAAAAGTCTCGATTAAATTTTTATGGAAGAGGTGTTTCATAGAAGGCCTTGATGTAGGAAGCTGAAGAGAAGCATGCTCAGGAGGTTCAAGCTCTACAAAAAGATTATGAGGACAAAAGGCAACAATATAGAAGGGAGATAGCATATGGTCTTAGCTCCATCCTTTCTCAAATTCAACAACAAAATCCACAAATGTCTTTTGATTTAAGTATGCTTGGCTCTTTATTTCTTGATAATCAATTTGAGAAGGATGGTGGTAGTACAACAGAAATGCTTCGATTTCAATCTTCGGCTTCTACATCCAAGGTAAAAACCTTTTGATTTCTATATACGTAAAGTATAGATAGAAAAGTGGCCAAGGCTTTCAATTTTTTTCTCTTTTTTTTTTTTTTTTTTTTTTTTTTTTTGTTGTTGTATTTGAGCGATACTAAGTTGAAATATTTATCTATTTTATTTTATTTTATTTTTTGTACAGGGAGATGAACAAGAAGAAGATGAAGAAGGCTGCGAGTAAGAAGAAGAAGAATATGACTTTATGGCTCAATTTGAAGTTGCTTTAACCTTTTATTATTTCTTCTATTTTTTAGTTAGACTAATATTATGGCCTACAACATTCTATTAAACAATAGATTATTTAGATAGATTTGATGTTGAAAACAAGTTGATATTGTTTTGGTTGTACTGTTTTACTAATTAATTTTATATGTTTGGGATTATGTAGTCAAATGCTTATTACATGTTTTAATGTTCAACATTTTTCTAATATAACAAATTCAAAATAGTACGAAACATTCTCACTCCTTTAATATAATATAGTAATATATTGCAATAGAAAACAAAAATAGCCGATTCATTGTAGTCATTTAATTTATATATAACAGTTTTCTAAATGTTGTCTTTACAATATTTGGCAACACTTTTGTATTATTACTAGCAAATACAACATGTGAAAAGATTGTTTTATATTATGACAAAAGGTAATAATTTTGAATAGTCTCCTAAGGTGGCAACAATTTTCATTTGTTGTCTTTGTAAATATGTTGCCTTAGGTATTATTTTACCTTGGCTTTTAAAATTGTTGCCTTTGTACGAAAATGCGTTGCCTTATGAATAGACAACGGGGGCATAAACTACGCCTCATATGTGTTGCCTTAGATACAAGGCAACACTTTTTTTATATTAGGGAATGGTTTTTCATTGTTACCTTAGCTTCATTTTGTTGTAGTGTGCGTATCGATATTCCAAAATTCTAAAGCGCTATGTATGAAGTCTATGTCTAAATCTACCCCTTCGATGCCATAAATTCCCCCCAAGTGAAATAAATCTAATTCTTTTCTTTCTCTAACATTAAGAGATCGACACCATTCATGAGTGTATTGGGTGAAGGTTTTAGTGACTAAAGACATGATTATTATTTTTTCTAAAGAGGAGAATAATTTTTTCGCTGGAATTATGAGAAGAATCGGCTGAGCAGGGGGCTATTTATGTACAAATTGCGAAGAATTTTAATCTGAATGAAATACGGAGTCAACGTTAATTGGCGTCAAAGCCACGACATTGGCGCCACCCTCCAGTGCTTGGCGCCACACGCTAAGTGTAGCGCCTGGCGCCACGCGCCATAGTGTGGCGCCAGCTGGCGCCAAGTCACCATGGCAGTCGCGCGTGCTCAGTTTGCGTTTTTGATATTAAACTTGAGTCGGTTAATGACTTTATGGCCCCGTTTAATTTTCCTAAATATCTTTTCTATCTTTTTCCTTAATTAATTAAATATCACATTTATTTTTAATCTATTTCTTTTCTTTTTGGATTTTATTTTAATCTTCAAGAAACCGGCATTTTTCCGTTTTCTTTTCCTTTTTATTTTTTCTTTTTGGGGGAGAGAGTCGGATAATATCCTTCATCAATAATAAAAATAACGGAATTTTTGCGCAAAATTAGTATCATACTTCTCTTGCATACACTAACATACACTAACATAATAATAAACAATCAAATGAAGTTACGATAACATAAAAATACAAATGTGTCTAAATAATGAGTCAAAGGCAAAAGTTTTATAAAAAAGTCAAAATAAAATACATATACAGAAACAGACTACGGCGCCGGAGGACGTAGGCCCATCATGTCATAAAACTGCGCCGTACGAGGAGTCACCTCTCCACCAGTTCCAGCCTCAGCACCAGCTCCAATGTCCGTAGGAGAAGGAAGACTCAAGATAGGACCGCTCCAGCCAAGATCAACCTGAGGCTGAGACCGCGGAGGCTGCTGCGATGACGAGCCAACCTCGTACATCCCACCACCTCTGAAAGCCGAGGTAGCCTCTCCTACCGGTGCAGCAGGAGCACCCTCAGAAGAAGATCCCGAGCCCTCAGCAACGTCGGCTCGAGCAGCCTTGGAACGACCACCTCTACCTCCTGACGAAGTACGACGACGTCTCGAGCTAGACCTCGCCGGATCTCTCCGCCCCTCAGGTCTCGTACGGGTGTGAGAAGCGATGGGCTGACCCTGCAAAAAAAGAATTAAATCAGGATCAAGGTAAAACTGAAGCCATAATGCAGAAATAATAAGTAAAGAAAGGTTACCTCTCGGACAACGTCTTCCCGACGACAGGTAGCCGCGTTCCTCATCCGGACGAGCTGGCTCCGGAAGGCATCTATGCATCGTGCCATAGCCGAAACCACCTCACGTGAGAACTGTCAGAAAAATAAGTCAGTGACAATACATGATAAATGAATACAAAATTCTGAATTAAAACTAGGCTTACACTGGTCTGGTGGCGAGGAATCGACCGCTCCACGAAGCGCTCGCCCTCGGGAGCCGGAGAAATCATCTCCTCGATCGGCCCGTATAGCCCCTAGTAGTGAATGGACATACGGGTAGGCACAAACTCAACGGAACCATCCTGATAAAACAGAAAAAAATCAGTAAGGTATTACTTGGGGGCTACTTAGCAAAAAATAAAAAGCTAAGAATCTTACCCTCACATCCTCAGCCGGTACATGGGCTGGAGCTAATAAAGGTAGTAGCTCCTCAGCGTAACACCGCCCAAGGATCACATGGGACCGCCAGCGGGAACCAGATCCCTCGGCCATGCTCGACAACTGTCTCTCGTCGAACATATGACGTGGCGGAGGAGCAGGAACGACGAAAACATCAGAAGAGTGTTGTCTAGCAACTCTCTCTCCTAAATACACAACCGCTCCGTAGGTCCCCAGAAAATAGCGACGCTTAGCAGAGTACTGTGCGGCTAATCCAGGGACTGTCCAACAGCCCCACGGTCGGTATACTACCTCATGTCCCTATAAAAAGCACCAATCAGGCAAGAATATGTCTAAAACACCACAGAAGAGCAAGATAAACACTAAAAGTCGTACTGAGATGATCTGGCTCCGGACACGTGCAGTAGACATGTCCACATGGTGGCCGCCCCAAGAGGCGCTCACCGGATATCCCCTCGGCGATGGTCTCGCCGGCGCAACGGAAGGAAAGTACTCGTAGAACCAGATCCACAAAAAGTTAAAAGCGTGAGTAAATGCTAACTAATATATAGGGCTAAACTTTATAGGGAATAATGTTTACCTCTACGACCTTCCAGAAAGCAGACAAAGCGACGTTCGTCCTAAAGGACCGGTGACGACACGAGTCCCTCAACGCATGAACGAAATCAACGTAGGCCAAGCTGGCCCAGTCATAAGTCCCGATTCGTTGGAGATCACGGACAGTAGGGAGGTAGTAAAGCAATGCCCTACTACCCTTGTCAGGAGAGAATGTCCCTGACAATAACATCAGCACGAAGATGCCCACCCGTTGCTCTCGGGTGGTCGCATCATCATCAAGAGTCGCTGCCAGCGTCGAGCGGCGAATCCCTCTAGCACTGAACTGAGTCGTCTTGACCTCAGATCGGGCCCGAATAACAATCGGCCCCAACAACTCCTCGATTTCTGGAGAAAAGACGTCGATCCCACCGTTGAACGGCAGCGACACAGAAGTGAACTCCAGTCCTGTGATGAGACTGAAGTCTGTAGGGGTGACCATCATCTCGCCCCAGGGAAAATGGAAGGTGTTGGTGGTGTCCCAGAAGAACTCCACCAAAGCGCACACTACGTGATGACCCCCGCTGGAGGCGACCATAGCCTCGGAGGTCTCGAACAGAGTAACTAGCCCGCATGACTCCCATAGGAGTCTCGTCTCACGGTCTCTGGCGATGTGCATCCTATACAAATCGCCTAGACCATCACAGCCAGAGCCGTGATGCCGTGTCCTCCCAGGCTCGGTTCCTCGTATCACCCTCTCAGAAATGTGGTGGACAAAGGCAAAGAACAAAGTCTGCTCGTCCCACTCCGGGAGCCGACCAAGCGAAGTGGACGGCGTAGCGTCGTCCTCCACGGGCTCATGCTCCCGTCTAGTGTTTCGGGACCATGAACCTGAGCCTCGTTGTCTAGCCATGCTACATTATGCAGAATCATCATAAATTAAGGTTCTATGGTACCTAAGGTTTTGCCTAGCCGCATGATACTATGTTCACAAAAAACAGAGTACGTAGTACTAAAACAGAGCACAAAAGCAAATTGAGCATGACAGTATTTTTTCAAGCAATCAAACAATTTCTTGCAACACTATAGTGATTATTGTGACAAATTGAACAAGAATTGCTAGCAAAAACATCAAGAACAAACCACATTGTTCTTCACGACCTTAAGAGGTCCAACAATGGCAGATTGCTCATTTCTTCACCAAATTAAGTCAAACAAGTCTCAAATTACTCCCAAGGCAATAAATAAACATAAACAAGCAATTTCATGGCATAAAACTTGATAAACAAAGAAAATTGAGCATCATAGAATTCGAATTTTCATAAAATTCGTGAATAAACATGCCAAGAATTCATAAAAACCGGTGTGAGTTTGAGGAAAACTTACATAGATCGGGAATATAGATGAGAAGAGATTTGATTTGCAACAAATTTGAGCAAATTCGGTTGAGAAACGAGCAAGCAATGGGCAATTGAAGTTTTCGGTTTTCTCGAGCAGCTTTCGCGACGAACATAGCCAAGAAATGAACCGAAAACGGGAATTTAAAGAGAAACCCGTGCAGGCGCCAGTCCCTAGGCGTTGGCGTCACCAACTGGGTTTGGCACCTGACGCCAACATCAGCGCCTGGCGCTAATGCTAATAGGCTGGCGCTGATGGTTTTTCAGCGACGCCAAAGCACCCAGCCACTTGTTGGGGTTGTGCTAGCCTTCTGCAAAATATTTTTGGGTTCCTTGGTACGCCAGTTAGCCCCTATAAGCAATTTGATATGATTAAGTAATTGGCTTGATTACGTAAAGTGATCGACTTGATAAAAGATCGTCTCACTTAGTTTAAAGCGCCTAAGCATTGGCTCATTAGCAAAAGGCACCAACATATAGGTTCAAGAGCAAAGGGGACCGACATACAGGTTCAAAGAAAAAGAACGCCGACATACAGGTATAGCAGAGGCAAAGTTCAGGCGAACTTTTAAAGATCGACAGGCGTGGATCTTCGGTAATTTCCTTTGGAAAATTATCGTATCAATGCAACTGAAGATTGTTTCGAGAGAAATAATCTTCGATGATATTCCCTTGGACGTGGAATATTATCAATGCAGATGAGGATTGTTTCAAGAGAAATAATCTTCGATGGTATTCCCTTGGACGTGGAATGTTATCAATGCGGATGGGGATTGTTTCGAGAGAAATAATCTTCGATGATATTCCCTTGGACTTGGAATATTATCATTGCGGGGAGGATAGTTTCAGGCGAA